AAAAGATGCCCCTACAGACAAAAAAAATAATAAAAAAAAAAGATGTCCTCTATATAATGTCAAGTGGGAAATAAAATTGAGCTTACTGTAAGAATTAAATAAAATAATGCATATAAAGAATCTGCCACAGTGCTGGCATATAGTAAACTCTCAATAAATGTTAGCAATAAATTTGGCTTCCTTTTACCTATAACAACTTTATGAAACACTGGGTATCTTCTATAATAATATTATTTCTTTTAGACTTTTATTTTTTCACTTGGTTCTTTTCTTCCCTTCAACAATTTCCTGTTTCCTTCGCAATAATTCCTCTCCTTTCTGCTTAAAAAACAAAAAAGAAAAAAATTTTTTTCTTCCTCATGACTCCCCGATTAATTACCAAAAACTCATCAGTTCCAGGATCTTAAACAATGGCCCAGAAATAAAATCTCATTTTGTTCTTTGACACCATCTGGAGAGCCAACTGTTCTACTCCTATTTACTCCTTTCTTTTCTAAAAGGCACTACCTTCAGCTGGAAGAAGTCATGAAAAAAAATATCACCTGTGACTCCAAACCCTTCCATTTCCTAGCCTGGATGTCCCATTTGCAGTCCTTCCTGCACACCACTATCAGGCTAATCTGACTATTCTTCATTTCCAACTTCTACCAAGACATTTCAAATCATAGATTCAGCTTTAATAACCCCAAACTGAATTTTTCTTGTTCTCCCAAATAAATTTTTTTCCTAATGTCCTCATTTATGTAATACCACAATTTTTTAAAATGTGAGAAAGCAAAGAAAACAAAAATCACTCATAATCCTATCATTCAGAGACAACTACTAATCCTTCCAGAAAGATTTTTCTTTCAAAAATAGTATCAATTATATCCTATTTTATAACTTTCCCATTTTACAATACATTGTAAACATTCTCCATGGCATTAAAAATTATATAATATCACTTTTAATGGATAGTTAATATGGACCCAACAAGGGCTTTGAACACATTAACTTCAGCCCTCTGAAAGCTAAAGGCAAATGGGATGACAAACTACCCTCATGCAGGATTAGATTCGTAACAATCCCAGGAAAAGCCATATATGTGAAAATAACAGATAACAATTTTGAAGTTTTTCCATTGAATGTACATAAAGGCATGTTTTGTCTTGTTTTTCTTTTTTTTTCTTTTTGACACAGTCTTGCTCTGTCACCCAGACTGGAGTGCAGTTGTGCAATCTCCATTCACTGCAACCTCCACCTCCCAGGTTCAAGCAATTCTCATGCATCAGCCTCAGCTGTGAGTCACTACAGGTGTGTGCCACAATGCCCAGCTAATTTTTGTATTTTGTGTAGAGATGGGATTTTGCCATGTTGGTCTAGCTGGTCTCAAACTTGCAGCCTCAAGCAATCAGTTGGCCTGGGCCTCCCAAAGTGCTGGGATTACAGGCGTGAGCCACCATACCCAGCCAACAAATTTGTTTTGTTTACTTCTTTTTTTTATTTTGAGACAATGGAAAACTGATGCCTGGCTCAAAAATTAGTAGGATATTGGCCGGGCGCGGTGGCTCAAGCCTGTAATCCCAGCACTTTGGGAGGCCGAGGCGGGTGGATCACGAGGTCAAGAGATCGAGACCATCCTGGTCAACATG